AGAGAGATACGTATTCTCTTTACTAATTGGGACAAGAGAAATATGTAAGACATAAAGAAAACTTTAAAATTAAAACACAGGAGGGGCTGGGGCTGGGGCTCAGTGGTAGAGCGTTTGCCTACCATGTGTGAGGCACTGGGTTCGATCCTCAGCACCACATAAAAATAAAATAAAGATATTGCATCCACCTATAACTAAAAAATAAACTATAACTAAAACAAAACAAAACAAAACAAAACAAACTAAAACACAGGAGACTGCTTTTTTGGAAGTTACACATACTTGTTCCCGTCAGCTGTACATCAGCAAAATTTCATACTGACCAAAGGTTGCCCACTCCACGCCTCTTATCCAATCCTCATGTCCACTGAGAGAAAGCACTTTCTGAAACTAGTAAGATAATGAAAATCACTGGGCTTGATAATTTAACATTTTCACATATATTGACTTCATTTTATCTCAGTCAGTCCTACTGCTTTTACTAAGAATGCTACTTGATTAAACACAGGATAAAGTACTCATTTGAGAACAAAAAAAAATCTCATCATGTAATACTTAAGTCATTAACTGAGCAACTCTGAGTTGATAACACAATATCTATAGATATCAAGTAATTTAAATGTTTACAAGATAAAATGACATGCTATGGATACAGTATATAAAAACATTGGATCCTACAGAACAGAAACTGGGCCTAGAGTTAACCAACCTAATTCCTGGAATTTCTTTCCCTTAGTTTAGACACTCAAAGTGTAGGTAAAACTCAGAAGGATAAATAAACACTGGCTTTACTACAGGTATGTTATACCTCATTTAATATTAAAAAAAAAAAAAAAAAAAAAAAAGCACTACCATGGCATCTTCCTTCTCTCCAGAACCAAATTACCTCATTACCTGTTTCCTCCAACAACTCGGCCTGGTGGCTAAGGCTGAAGTTACTTAATGTTCAAATAAAAAAAAAGAAAGACTATCTAATAGAAGAATTGACAAGGAAAGATTCCCCTATTGGACGATTTTGGTTTGAATTTTAACATTCCTGAATTATAATTTGTAAGTAGTCCGTATTAAGATATGTGACTAAGTGGATAGTAATTCTCATCTCTTAATAAATATCATTATTTACCTGATCATTTTGTTGAACAAATAAATGAATTTTGCAGTCATCATCACCACATGCTAATATTGGTACTAGAAGAAAAAAAAAAGGCATGACTGTAAATACCCCATCACAAGTAGGATCACCTACATGGATTCTAAACTCTATGCAAAGTATCCTGACTTCCATTTCCCACACCACTGAACAAACTGAAAATGTTCAATGAATATCTCCAGGAATAAAATGTGATACTCAAAAACATATTAGTCAATGGTTATTTAACAAATAATAACAATAAACTTGGACAAGTAGTATCTATGTTACTTAGAAGGAGCAATGTAAAAGAAGCCCAAGAGCAAGTAGGGAGCCAGGTGTGCTGGTGTATGCCTATATTCCCAGTGGCTCAGAAGGCTGAGGCAGGAGGATCACAAGTTCCAGGTCAGACTCAGCAATCTAGCAAGGCTCTAAGCAAGTTAGTGAGACACTCTCTCAAAATTAAAAAAAAAAAAGGGCAGGAATGATGTGGTGGACATTATTATCCAAAGTACAGGTATGAAGGCA